TCCTAGCCTCCACTTTGTGCCACTGTCCATCACACATATTAGACATTCCTTTTGGTTCATAGGAAGCCGTTATTCTGCCAGCTCCATTATTGACATTGAATAAAATCTACAAAAACAAAATAAATCACAACTGAACAGCCAAATGAAGTAAAGGTAGAAGATGGTTCTTTTAACGCAATACATTTTCAGAACTGCTGTGAGTAGGTAATTATTAAATCAATGTTCATTTGATATGAATTTCTTAGCTTTGCATTTTGCCAAGAAACAACTAATTCAATGCACCCTATTTCTATTTCAATACTGAAAGATTTGTTTTATATTAGTCATTTCTCCTCCTACTCCTCCTTGATAAAGTACAGACAAGGTTTAAGAGACATATACTGACTATGTATCTTCCCTGAAAACTTTAATGCTAGATTCTGCTGTCCAGCAATTGATTAAAATGGTTAATTATACCGTGCTTCCCTGAAAATAAGAAAGGGACTTATTTTCTTTTGACCACTGAAATAAGCACTTGGACTTATTTTCAGGGAAGTCTTATTATTTTTGAGGTGCAGGAGGTGGAAAGCATGGTCACCTCATGGTTGCTGCTGTGTTGCAATATTTTCAATATTTTTAGCGCATGCACTCAAAAGCCTGATTGACCTTATTATCTGGGGAAGTCTTATTTTGGGGAAAACAGGGTAGTTTGGACCAACTTTCATAATTAGGGGATTCTGAAAAGGGTGTGTGTGTATGCTCCCTTTGATACTGTAGGGAACAGTGATGTCTTGATGTATGTAGGGATGATTATTTTTGAAGTATGGTCCATGCAAAAATAAACATCAAATTCTTTTTCAAACAACTATTACTAATGTTGGTATTCCCCTCCCCCACTCTGATTTCTTTCCTTTTAACCACTGAACTTTTCACTCAAGCCAAGATAATAAATATATTTGTAAAATCATAGGCATTTGTCTTCAAATTGGTTTTTTTTATCATTTCATCTATTTCATAATTTTATTTACGAGCTCTCACATCACCAATTGAACTGTTTCTTCTAGAAAAACATTTCTGTTTTCCTATGCATAATAAATGTATAAATAGCAAATTGTAATTGTCTTAATAATCTAAAGATAATTTTCAGAATAAAAAATTCTATTGCTGTAATATAATCAGATATGTTTCACAGAGATCATGAAAACATTAATTTCTATAATCATTATTATATATTAATAATTACCACAGATTTTCTCTCAAAAACTGCATATGTAACTTTCTTATATATATTTTCATATCCATCAGTTTAGGTAACACTTAAGATTTATTAGGATAAATGTATTGCAGCATATCCGTTTCAGAACCTACCTTTCCATTTACAATTTCCAGCCCAATGGCATCTATTTTAGCACTACTGATTCCAAAAAGAATTCCATTCACAACATTCGTACGAAATTCAAATGTAATGTTAACTTCAGATCTGACTTTATAGCCTTCCCTAACTACAAAAGAGAGAATGAAATAATGAAGTTAGAGGTGCAGCAGCCAATCCATCCCGTTGCGTGGCGTCGCCATAAGCGGCTGCTTTTGCAATTAGCCATCCACCTCCTCTGACCCCACCGCTGTGAAAAAAGAAACACACACACAAATTCCTCACAATAAAAAATTACAAATCCCCTCCCTCCCTCCGTCCGATCCACATATCTTTTCCAGCTGTGGAAACTCTCTCAACTCTCCTCTTGTCCGTCCAACGTAAGCGTGCTCAACATAAATGTGCTCATAAGGCATGATTCGCTGCTCCCAGATCAGGAGGCGGGAGAATCAGTGCCCCCTTTGCATACAATTTTTTTTGCTTTTTAACCCTTTCTTAACTTTTAAAAGACGAAAAATTCCTTATGCAAAGGAGGCCTACAGTTCTCTGGCCTCCTCCTATAGTTAACACTAAGCACTATTCCAAGTCACTGTGACTTGGAATCTGGTAGCAACTACCTTGGCTTTAATTATTTTTAAAAAATTCTTTAAAATTCTTTCCTTTTCCTCAGGGGATTGGTGAGGCCCCGTCTCCCCTGCCTCTAGTGACTGCACATCCCTGGTACAATGACAATAAAGTAATTCTAAATCTTGACCAAGTGATCAGACCAGGAATCACCCAATCAAATGATCATTTGACCAAAGCAACAATAAAGACATAAAAGATAAACATAAAAAAAAATAAGATTAGCAAAACCACTAAGAATAAAAACCTCTTACACTAGTCATCGCTACCAACTTCAAAACTAAAGCTCTGTCTAAATGACAGCTCAGTTAGCAATTTACAGAAAGTGATAGGCCTCCATTTTAAAGAATTTTCTACTTATCTTTTATACATGAAAGTTACTGTAAGAAACACAGCTATCTAGGTGGGAAAGTGTGCTCACTTTAAGTGTCTCCTTGAATTAGACAAGTGGGTTGGCTTTATTGGAAACAGAAGTTGTCTGCAATACAGAGATTTCCTTGTTCTTCAATGAAGCCATTCTATTTCCAAGTAAGGGAAATTATATGATTCTTACCACTACCAGCAGCTACAATAACTCAGAATTGGAAATAAAAGACCAAGAGTAAAACATTTAATGTTATTGAATATTTTCTATATTTCATTTTACACTTATATTAGGAGTGGTGGGTGGTGGAGAATAATACTTTACTTACCAAGAACAGCAAAACCACTTCCATCAAAGTAAGTTCCTTTCTGGATTGCAGCATAGCATTTATTCACAGCAAAAATTGAAACCAGACTATCTAATTGCTTGCTATTAATGGTTACTTCACTAATACATGCAGGAATGCTGTGAGTAATCTGCAAAGACAATTTGGTAGTTACTCCTGTAGAACAGTGTTTCTGAATCTTAGCAACCTCAAGACTTCTGTAGTTCAACTCCTAGAATTCTCCAGACAAGTTTCCAAGATTAAGAACCATTGCTATAGAAAATCTGTATACTACAGACATCTCTTATCACCCACAGAGATATATCATTCAGCGCCTTGCTACTTTATAATTATTAATCATTGAGAAATTCAGACATCTATTAGAGGAAGTCACTCAAACTTTGTGGTAAATTTACACATCATTTTATATGGCATTTTGTTTTCACATAGGTCCCATTGCAGCTTGGTGGCCTGGCCGGGGGGAGAGGAGAGGGGAACTGGGCTGTGCAAGCGGCAGGCCAGTGCATGTGCACACAGCTCAAATTGATTGACTGCCTGCCGGCCCACTGCTTGCGCACATTGAGCTGCATGTGTGCACGTATTCCAGTCAGCCACTCGTGCGGTCCAATTCTGAATAGGCCATGGGCTGGTAGTGGGCTGCAGTCCAGAGACAGGACCCCTGAGGTAGTGAGCAAAGGATTAAAGTCTATCCCTTATACAAAGATCCAGGGCAGAATGGATATTCCCTTATATTCTCTTTTGCTTATGTTTATGCTGCTATAGATTAAAAATAACTTCAGAAGAATTTTTTTAAAGAAAAGCAGAATGGGAAATCTTAATTTTGGGGGGATGGGACAGAGAGCTGAACTATAACAAATACAGCAGGTACACCTTTGCATTTTATGATGGAAATAAGATACAATACAGAAAATCTATGACCAGGAGTCATCCACCCAGCCATTTTTCTATTGCCCTGTTAGTCTTGCTGTCATCTATCTGGAACTTCTTGTGGGGAAAACAGATGCTGTCAAAACAACAATGCTTTTTTCTGTCGTAAATCTGAGTAGCTACTTTGAAGAAGGAGAAGATTTAGGACAGAAAAACAGTGCAGCAAAAGGTTAATTCTGCTCTTTTCCACTACCGCTGTGGAGATCAAAATCGGACTTACAAGAGTTGTTTTATTTTGAAAAAATGTTGGGAAATCCATCTGTTTTCCAGCTTAAAATAGTTTCTTTCCATAGAGTGCAATTTAATACTGCTATTGTTATGACTATGACCATGAGCCTGCTTATTATGGTTACTGGAGGAGCTGAACATGCTGTTTCAGATACAGACATGTTTGATATCTTTTAACAAATTTAGTAAAACAACAACAAACCAGTCTTGTTATTTGAAGTAAAATGCAAACAGAGGAACTGGAATATTTCAAATCAAATGTGGATAAGTAAGTAAAAAATACCAAAATAGCATGTAAAAATGAACCTATTATCAGGATTACCCTGAGTCAATTCAAATATATTACAGAGGGAATTCATTTCTTAAATCACTCTGTATGTTATCACTTGAGAGCTCATGGTAAACAGTTCCTATCCTTCCTGCGAAACTTCCACACAACTAACAACAACCACTATTTACACTCCACAACTCTTCCAATTAATTTTAAACTGGCACAATTGCCCCTCTAGCTATTGAGGCTCATCTGAATAGTTCAGAACTCACTCCTATCCTCCCAACCTGGCTAAAGGCAGAGGGCAATGAATCTGGAGGATAGCAATCTACTGCCCCTTCTCATCAGTGACTCGCTATGTTTGCAAAAGAGTGTATATAGGGAAATCCCTTGGATTGATCAAGACAACATTAAGGATGGAAAGAAAAGGGGCCTAAATATGGCACAAGTCCTATCAATGGAAATAACCAGTTGCCCACCAGAGGAAATGCAAAATTATAGCCTCACAAGAGCTGATGTGAGCTGTTCTATATACAAAACACACCACCCTAAAAAAACTTCGCATCCTGGTGGAGTCACAGCACTTCTTCAAATCAGCAGAACACTGATATGGAATGTAGTATGATATGTTTGCATACCTGGCACACAAATGATCAATAAGAAAATAAAGTGCTTACATTTCTAATGTTCTTTGTGAGGTAACCTAAGGGTAGACCTCCCAAATACAATTTCCCATCCACATCCAAGGTGCTTCCGTCACCTGAAACATTGACAGCTTCAGTTGCCTGCCCATCAACTATGATTACACCTTTCCTTTTAGCATAATCTGTTTTTACCTGTAAGGTAAGATACATTGTTTGTGAGCAGTTATTCATAGTTAAGAAACATGCAACTAAGAATAGTATTCCATGTATTTATCTGTGACCAGCAGACATTTTTATTCTTGTTTCACAATTGTTTTAGGGTTATAAATACATCAACCAAATATGCCAAATGCAAAAACTATTGTGTACCTAATACAACATTTCTACCTTAGGCGTTAAATGTACCAAAACATTTATGTATCTGGGCAGTTGAATATAAGAATTTAAGAAATGTACCGTATGCCATTTTCCATCGCTGATCATTGCTTCATGAGAAACTATTGACTGTCCTTTTCCAAGATCAAATGCAAAACGAAGCTTTCCTTCTTGTAGTTGAAGGGCTGCATAATCAACTTGCTTCTGATGAGCTGTGTAGTATATTAGACCACTAGAAGCAAGGGTCCTGATGCTTAATTGGACAGAAAACCTACAAAATAAGATATGGAACTGATCAAACTTTGGACATTTCAATACATGCTATGAAGACCATTGAAAATACTGACTTTCTTCCAGTTTGACATCATGGCGAGACAGCCGAAGGAAAGCAGGGCTCTGCATTCCATGACTGATTTCTTTCTACCAGAGGCCCCTAAAGGCCTGTAGAGGCAACGATAAAAGTGGAAATCCACTTGACAGCAGTTGGCATGGTAGATCCAGTAAAAACCCTCTAACTGAAAGAAGAGCTCAGTTTTCTTTTAAAAAAAAAGAAAATAATGTTCAATAAATATTCTAAGCTGAACTGTAGTTCAACTCTGAACTACCCAGAGTTGTTGAGAGTCAGGTGGCATGCAAGTTCAATAAATTCTTGTCATTCAAGCATGTTGAGTAGTCATGGTGGTGCAGCGGTTAGAATGCAGTATTGCAGGCTAATTCATCTCACTGCCAGCAGTTCGATCCTCACCAGCTCAAGGTTAACTCAAGTCTTTCATCAATTCTTCCCAGGTCGGTAAAATGGGATCCCAGATTGACTCTGTAAACTGCTTAGAGAGGGCTTTAAAGCACTATAAAGTGTTATATAAATCTAAGTGCTATTGTTACTGCTATGTTCAGAGAGAGGCATTCACAAGGAAGTAAGATAAACCAATTGATGAAAGTTGTGCTGTGTTGTTGCCCTTCATTTTATTGTGTGGCCTATTATACTACAAACAAATATGAAGAGGGCAGAGTTTATGGAATAATGATTGAAGACCACTTTCACCATCTTAATGAAAGTAGATCCTGCAAGGATATTTGATTCAAATATTCTGTGATCCTTCTTAAATAATATCACCCTTGCTATTCTGGAAACTTGGCAAATCCTCTGGAGTGGCATCACAGATAATACTGGTAACTCTCCACTGGTTTCTAGTTCCCTCTAATGGGAAATTCCCCTAACATTAACTAGAGTAGTTATAAATGAAACATGCTTTCATTTTCTGAAGGTTTCTGAGAATAGTATAGTACACGAATAATTATTGTAGAATAATACAGAAATTCTAGGAAGCTATTACCCATGAAGAAATCCATTGGAAAGAAAATAGTATAGGCAGAAACTAAGGAAAATGAGTTATAGCAAACTGCACAATATTCCAATTTGCACTTTAAAACTTTGTCTATTGAAATGGGAAATTATTTTTAAAAAAGCTATGAGAAAGATCAGTGAACTTTTTTGGCTGTTTTTAAATGAAGCATTTAATGCTAGTTTTACCTAGTTTATATAACATCTATTTTACATATGACTGACAAGGAACAATTGTGGTTATTTTCAGGGTCTGCACAAGCCCCAATCTTTAATATTCAGAAAACTACTGTATATAGATGTAGGAGCAGGAAAACCATTTTAATAAATGAATGAAAAATAGATACTTGTTATGTGGCTATAGATAACCATACAGGAACGAATGGAATTTAACAGTGCCACATATTGTCTAAGTACTCTAAATTGTTATCCCTTAACTTAATGTTTTCTAGCTGCACATTGGAATAATATTCTATCTCACATATAGCAATTCTGTACAATAATTTAAGATATACCTACTTTTTTCTTACTGTAGACTGATTGAAAAGTAACATTAAATGACTGTTTTTGTTAACGCCAAACTGATGGGCATTGGAAATGTACTTCAGCTCTCCCCTTTTTGCACACTGTTTCTGTAAACAGAATAAATGAGGTAAATGAAATGAAATTCTCCATCCAATACTCATTCTCGTTTTATTAAATATTGATGTCACCCCAAACTTCATGCAAATTTCATGTTCAAATTGTCAGAATCCAAGACAACACAAGCCTGATTCTCATCTGCTCAGGCAACTTTGGTAGTTTTATTTTTTATTCTTTTAAGAAAAAAGGGCCATTTTCATGTCTTTCCTATGAGGTAGGTTGAACTCACCGACAGAAAGAAGGACTGTCCCTACATTACCCAGTCAGCTTTCAAACCTAAAGCGGAACTAGAATTCAGTCTCCTAGTATATAGCCTGGTGTCTTAACCACTACACAAAAATAGTTCTCTTGCTTCCTTCAATTCCAGTAATAAGCCATGCTAATTTGAAATCAGGAAATTATGCTCCAGTGTTTTTGTAGGAGACTAGGTTAGAGAGCAGCACAGTGGTACTTCCTCATTTTGATGATCAAAAGAACTGAATTTGTGAAATAGCCTCAAGTTTAAAAGTAAAACCATACCTACATTTAAGACAATCTGCAGCAGAACTGAGTACAGCTTCTATCATTTTTATTATGATTACAATGACACATAATTGAAATTATACATATTTAAATTTATATACTTATTGATCCAGTACTACAGTTGCAAAAACACACACTAATATTCAGAAATCAGACATGACTAAACACCAAATAAAAAATAAAGTAAAATTGATTTTATTTATGTGTATATTTAATGAAAAGTAAATGAGTTAATTCAATATGGTTAATAGGATTACTTTCCCATGTATTTAATAAATTGCCCTGTGAGAGAGCAGGCTGCCCAGAAAATTGCCAGCACCTGTGCTGTTTTCTTTCCTTCTCTTTAAGCTCTCTCACCAGTAGCAGTACAGCAAAGCTTCCTATAAAAGGTTTATTGTGAAACAATGAGGGGTGGGGATGGGGGGGAGAGATATGTGAGGTTTGTATTGAAGTAAAGTAGCCTAAAGTAGCAGAAAGCAGTGAGAAAGCTTTTTTCCCCCTAGCAGTACTCACAAGATACATGAGCAATAGTGGAGAAGAATGAATAATGGAGAATAGTGAGTAATAGTATGTGAGTACTATGTGTGCTTGTATGTGTTGTCTAGGCACTTGTGTTGTTGTTAACTCTTTTGTGTCTTGAAGTCACCAAATTGGGGCATAGTTAAAAGAACCCATTACAAAGTGGTGGCTTTATGATTTACCTATGGCGAAGAAGTGAATTATGAAATTGAAATTGGAAAATAGAAAAAAAAAGCCTTTCCTACTGAATTTTGCTTAATTATGATCATAACCACATATATAACCATCATAACATACTTCCTTAGTCTGTGAAAAAGACTTTAGAGAACTTGGCAGCATCTGCGTTTCAGATCGGATTTCAAAGTCTACTGGTTGAATAGCAGGCTTAGATGTTTCTGAATGAAAGCAGCTGTCCATATCAACACCTTCATACCTTACTGCAGTGGTGAAATCCAGAAATCTGTATTTTTTTTTTAAAGGAAGGGAGGAAAGAAGAAACAAGCCCAAAGAAACATGAATTATTTTTCAGGCATAAGCTGAAAACTAAGAATGCAAAAATATTTATCAAGTACCAACTACTTTTCTCACATATCTTTGATGTGAAATTCTAAAGAATTATCATGTTTACTCCAACACTGTGGAATTTCATGATTTCCATGTTATATATCTATGGATCTTACTTTCTATCATGGTGTTGCTGCAATGTCCACAAGAAAAAAACAGAATTATAGCTATCAACTTGCACCAATTTTTTGGAGATATCTCTAACAACTTTTTGGAACATTATATTTACTCACATACTTATCAGCTTTTCACCCACGTAAACTAGGGAGTGACCTTAACAGTTTGAGAACATGTATTTTAATAGGGATGTTATTATACACTATTAATATCAGTACTACATTTTTTAATACATTGTAAAAAGTGATGTCTATTGCTGATCTATGATCGTAATAAAGATATATTCTACTCTACTTGCTATTATGTTCCATATAAGTGACATCTTCTATTGTAGTCAATAGGTACAGTCTCAATATCTGTAGACCAAAAATTATCCAACTAAGCATGACATTCCTTCCTATCCCACTGAACAACTAATAAAATCAGATATATTTGGTGTGAAAATCAGTTCTATATATGGACAAAGGAGAACAATTTAAAACCAAATCTGTCCATTAATAAAGCAAAATACATGGAAATCAGACCTCCTGTCTAAAAGAAGGGGCCAGCCAGCCAATTGCATTTTAGACAGGAAAAAAAGAAACAAGAATTTAAACACTGTTTCACTATAAATAGACTGGCACTTGATACTCAGCAATATTTGGAATTCTTTAATAATGGGTTCTTGGCTTTTCTACATAAAACATTGAATCAGAGTTTCTGGATTCTTCCATGCCTGTGAAGTGGTTTAAGCTTCTCTGACATTTGGCAGAGGAGACATTCCGATTAAAAAAAATGCAGAACTATCATATCATGGTAAAAAGAGTAAATGATGCCCTCCGATAAAAGAATCCTTTTCCACTATGAAGACAGTATAGTAAAATCGAAGTAAAGGTTTTTTTTAAAAAAAAATAATGTAACTTTTTGTCCATTAGATAATTAAATGACTTATATTAAGTATATATTCTTTATAACTAAAGAAGCTTCTAGGATGAGAAGCAAAGAATTTTCATAGGAAAAAAACCATGAAAATTCAATTGCCTTTTGGAAAAAGCACCTTTGGGACAACCAAGATGACTGAGAATTGAAGTGGACCGAGGAAGAACGAGGCAGGAGGCTCCTGAGGTAAGCTAACAGCGTTTATTCAAACTGGTGCAGCTTGGCTGTTGCTGGCTGTCAGTCGTACGCGCGAGGACTAACACGTCTTCCCCCCCTAGTGAGGGCGCATGCGGGAACATGGCACATGCGTACTACAAAGATAGGTGGGACGGCGGTGGACACGCCCTGAACGCCTCAGTTCAGGAGGTGGCACCGGAGAGGTAAGATGTCCCTGTTGCAGCTCCTCCCCGGAGGGAGTGGAGCTCTGGGTGACATCACAAAGGCCTAGTCCGGAGGGCGGAATACCCGGAAAAGGTAGGCCGGGCGGCGGGGGCGCGGCCTGAACAGACAAACTTGCCGGTATGCGGCGAATGGTTTGGGAAGGCCTGGTGGTGGAAGGCCTAGGAGGAACGAACTGGGGAATGCGAGGTCGGGTTGAGGCGGTGCATGAGGTTGCCGGGAAATGGTAACTGGGCAGGAGAGGCCTTACTTGGGAAAGCCTCATGTGGAACAGAGGTTGTGAGCGGCGGCGGGCCTGAGAATGGCTGCTGGGCGACGGTGGTCGGCCTCTGGGGGTCGGATTGAGTCGAGGCCTCTGGAGGGTGGCGGCGCCTTAGTTGGTCCACATGGTGCCACCACTCAGTGCCATCTGGTAGGTGCACTCTATAGGAACAGGGACCAGTTATTTCAGTGAAGGTGGCAGGCACTCACCGAGGATCCCGTGAGTAGCTTCTGGCCCAGACCAGGTCCCCCACCCCAAAGGAGTGGGAAGGGGCCCCCAGGTTGCGAGGCTGATTCCCTGAATAGAGAGAGTGCAATCTATCCAGGGTAGTCCACAGGCACCGGCCCATCAGTAGCTCCGCGGCACTTTTCTGGTGATGGGGCAAGGAGTGGAATGACGGCTCATAAGGTAAGCAGCCACTCTTGCTGGCCAGTCGCCACGGTCCATGAAGCCCAAAGCCTCCATGGCCAACCAGACCACCCTCTCCACCCGGCCATTGCTGGCCAGATAGTAAGGGCGACTGGTGCGTGGTGGATCCCTTGAGCAGCCAGGAATTCCTGGAACATTGTGGATGAGAATTGCGGGCCATTGTCGGACACTATGACGTCCAGCAAGCCATGTATGGCAAAGAGGCGCCGCAAGGCCCGCACCGTACTCTCGGCTGTGGTGGATGACATGAGCACCAACTTCACCCATCGAGAGTACACATCCATGACCACCAGGAACATCTGGCCATGGAAGGGACCCGCAAAATCGAGGTGCAGACAGGACCAAGGCACCCTGGGCAACTCCCATGCCGGGGGGAGGTGGAGGGGAGAGCAGGATGGGACACTTGGCAGGGCACACACCTCCCCACCCAGTTCTCAGTCTTGTCATCCAAGCGGGGCCACCAGACATAACTCCGGACAAGCGCCTTCATGCGTGCAACCCCCGGGTGGTCCGCATGGAGATGAGAGAGAACCTGGTGGCGGAGGGAGAGAGGAATGCCCCACAATAGGCACCCACACTGCAGGGACAGCTCCAACTTAAAGGGGCAGAACTCCTGAGAGACGCCCCCTGTAGGCCAGCCCCTCAGGACCCATGCCATGACTTGCGAGAGGACAGCGTCAGCTTCAGAGTGGGCTGCCACGTCAGTGGCTGACAGAGGAAGGTCCAGGTCCGCAATGGACAGGACCGAGAGGCAAGGGACTGGCTGTGGGTCAGCGCAGGGAAGTGGGCAATGGCTAAGGGTATCGGCATGCCCCAGCTGCTTGCCAGGACGGTATCTCAGCGTATATGAATACACTGCAAGAAACTCCGTCCAGCAGGTCATCCTGGGAGACAGGATGGGATGGATGGGCCTGTCACCAGCCAGAAGCCCAAGGAGAGGCTGGTGGTCAGTGTAGAGAGTAAAGATAGTCGTGGAATTTTTGACACCGCAGCCAGAGCCTCATTGTCAATCTGGCTGTAGTTCCTCTCAGCCGAGGAGCGTGTCCAGGAATAAAAAGCCATGGGGGCTTCTGAGCCATTTGGGAGGACATGGCTCAGAACAGCCCCCAGACCGACAGGGAAGGCATCACATGCCAATGTCAGTGGCATCTTGTCACTGTATTAGACTAAGACTGTCTCTGACGTCAGCATGGCTTTGACAGCCGTTAACGCATGCACTTCGCAGCTACCCCAGCACCAGGCCATGGATCGGTCAAGCAACCGATGCAGTGGCTCGGCTAGTGATGCCTTGTGCGGCAAGAAAGGCACCTAAAAATTTAAAAGGCCAAGGAACGCTTGCAGCTCCGCCTTGGAGGTGGGTGCAGGGGCATTCCAGATGGCAGTGACTTTAGAGGGTGTAGGGTGGATTCCCTGGGCATCAATCATGAAGCCCAGGAATTCCACCTTAGGTACAGCAAAGGAGCATTTGCTGCGCTTCAATTTGAGACCTGCGCCCCTAAACCGGTCAAGGAAGTACTTCGATGAGCTCTGAGCGACTGGTAGCAGCGATCAGGACGTCAGCCGAATTGGAGGTAGCGACAACGAAAGGCCCTACGGTGGGTGACGATGGTCTGAGTGGCCGCCGCATCATCATCCACCAGGAGCTGCTGGTAGGCCTGCGCCATGTCCACTTTGGCAAAGGTGCAGCCCTGTCCCAAGGAATGGAGCAGCTGCTACACCATAGGGACTGGATAGGGGTTTGCCTGGAGGCCAAGGTTGATGGTAGACTTGTAGTCGGTGCAGATCCTGATGGACCCATCAGCCTTGACAGGGACCACTATTGGGGTCTCCCATCATGAGTGGTCGACGGGTTCCAGGACACCCTGCGCCAACAGCTTGTCAAGTTCCGCATCCACCTTGGGCCTCAAGGCAAAAGGCACCCTGCAGGCCTTCAGCCTAATAGGGGCAACCTGGGGGTCTAGGTTGAGGGAGATAGGGGTCCCCTTGTACTCTCCTAGCTTACCATCAAAATCGTCGGCGTAATCCGCCAGGACGTCTTTGATGCCAGGGGGCATGTCCGCCATGAGGTGCACCCCAGAGAGGGAGAGGCCTAATGGGGAGAACAATCCAAGCCCAGCAAAGCCGGCAGAGGCTTCTGGACCACCAGAACAGGCAGGCAGCAAACCACGCCCCCATACTCCACCCGCACCACATAGCAACCCAGGGTAGGAATCTGAGTCCCCTGGTAGTCCCGTAGAACAGTGTCCGATGGAGACAGCTGGGACTTTGGGATGCCAGGGCAGAGCCAGGAAAAGATTGCCCATGAGAGGAGGGAACAGGAGGACCCTGAGTCCACCTCCATCGTGCAAGGCGACCCCTCAATGAGGAGGGACAGAGTTATCTTTTTAGAGCTGGCCGTCGCCTGGCTGACCGACTCTGCAGGGGTGGCAGGGAGGTTCTTGTCAATGGCAAAGCAGTCATCACGCTGGCGCTGCTGACGGCGGGGTTGCTGGCTCCGCGATGGTGCAGGTTGGTCATAGGACAGCAGAGGGACTTTGGGCTGTGGAGGTAACGGCAGGGTGGCCTGGCACACTTGCATTAGGTGCCTCTTCTTGTTACAGGGGCGGCACACAGACACTTTAAAGGGGCAGGATGCCCGGGCATGGTTGCCTCCGCAACCTAGGCAAGCAGCCGCTGCTGCAGCAGAGCAGGTCAGTGCCTGCGGCTGTTGTCTAGGGATGGCCCTCAGGTGATCGACCTGGTCCTCCATATCAGGGTCAGGCAGAGGCACCAGCTCGTCAAGCCCGGTGCGCAGGCGAAGGCAGGAATCTGGCCATCTCAGCAGTAGATTGCTTGGACAGCTTCGCTGCCCTTGCCTCGTCCATGGCTTGCGGCAGGGTGATGTCAGCCTTCGTCAGGAGCCGCCACTTAAGCTGGATGTCCCGCACTCCACACACGAATTGCTCGGCGAGGTTGTCATCTAAGTCTGGAAATTCACATTGAATTGCCGCAGTTCTGAGAGACTGGAGGAACTGGCTTACAGACTCAGTCTCTTTTTGAACACATTGCCGAAAGGCATACTGGTGAGCGATCTTGAAACGGGTAGGGGCGTAGTGGTTCTTCAGCCCGGCCATTATCTCGTCCCAGCCAAGCTCGTAAACTGGCCTCGGAGCCACAAAAGCGCAGGCCGTGCCGAACATTTTGGGACCGCAGGCACTAAGAAAAAAACTGCACTTGTGTGCCTGTGAGTATCCCTGCCTGTTGTTCGTTATCAGAAAACACTCGAAGCACTCCAGGAACCCAGCCCACGACTCGCCGGTGGTTCCAAAAGGAGCGAAGGGAGGCATAGCAGCCATGGCTCAAGCGGCTAAGTCTTCTCAGCAGCGTGAGAGAGACAAAAAAAAACGAATTCTCTGTCTCTGTCCTAGGCTGTTAAATCAGGGCCTGTGGATCCCATCCTCATCGCCAGTGAAGTGGACCAAGGAAGAACGAGGCAGGAGGCTCCTGAGGTAAACTAACAATGTTTATTCAAACTGAACCAAATAGTAGACAGGTTAGCGGTAGATCGGGACTCCGCCCTGCTTGACAGCTATTTATATGGAGCTGTCAAGCAGGGAGGCCAATAGGCGCACGTCTGACAGCCCGTTCTCAGCCAGCCGCACCTTAGCCAATCAGGCACGGCCTGGTTGTTGCTGGCTGTCAGTCGTACGCGCGAGGACTAACATGAATCTCCATAGATATATATACTACAGTATAAGGTTAAATAAGAAATTTCCCATGCATGGAAAATAATTTTAACTTACTCTGTGTTAAATATCACATTAGCTATACAACCATAGAAAGAATCCATGATTATTAATCCAGAAATGCTTTCTCCAGCAGGAATTCCACCAATGAAGAGCTTTGATATATTAATTGGTCTGCTTTCTGCCATTAGTCCAAGTCTAATTTCTTCAGGTTTACTATCATCCACTTGTACATTTATTATTCTGGGCAGCAAAAGAAGCAGGGAGAAAACAGAGAGAGTAACAATTTTTTCAAGAGAATAATTTCAAGGAAGAGAAATCAAGAAAATGTTAAAATATTCATAACTGAGACAGACATGGGAACAAGGTCAGCCAATGAATAGTCATAGCAACTAAGCCAGCCAATGGGAGCTTAAACAGATCTGAGTCTGTGCAAAGAATTGAAACAGAAACTTAGGGAGTCTGCTGCTCTGAGAAGTAAAGTAGCAGTCTGTCTGGGCTTGTCTGCTGATATGAAACTAACTGCTTGTGTTTGCCTGTAACTATCCTGCCTTGTGTTTATTTGGAAGAGCCACTTGTTGGTATTGTACATTTATTGATATATTCTTATGTATATAAAGATTTGAATTTATGCAATACTCTGACAGTAAATTTTATAATCCACCCTAAATAACTAGAGCATAATTTTGTTCTCCAACATGTTTTGGAGGCTTGCTACTGTGAGACATCAGACTTTCTAATGACTTTCTAATTAATTTCTCTTGTAGGCTTTTTTAAAAAAAATACATAAGACCTGAAGGCTTCTTACTGTAGACATCTTAAAGTTAATTATGTATTTC